TTTTATTAAGATATTATATGTGTACATACCTTACCAATCCCCTCTCCCCCATTCCTAAACATGCCCTCTCTCCCCATAGTTTTTCCTCCATTGGGTTAATGCTCATTTGCATGCATACAAGTTCTTCTGTTGATCTCTTATCTCCCCCATATCTCCCTACCCTCCCCATTGTAATTTGACAGTCTGTTTATTTACCGTCTCTGTACCTATCTTTTTGTTCATCAGTTTATAATGTTCCTTATTATCCATAAATGAGTGAGATCATGTGGTGTTTTTCTCTCATTGACTGGCTTATTTCACTCAGCATAATGTTCTCCAATTCCATCCAGGTTGCTGCAAATGATAAGAATTCCTTCTTTTTTATGGCAACATAGTATTCCATTGTGTAGATGTACCATGGTTTTTTGATCCAATCATCTGCTGACAAGCACCTAGGCTGTTTCCAAATCCTAGCTATTGTAGATTGTGCTGCTATGAACATAAGGGTGCATATATTATATCTCTTTTGATTGATGTTTCTAGTTTCTTAGGATATATTCCTAGGAGTGGGATTACTGGGTCAAATGGGAGTTCCATTTTCAGTTTTTTGAGGAAACTCCATACTGTTCTCCACAGTGGTTGCACCAGTCTGCATTCTCACCAGCAGTGCACGAGGGTTCCTTTTTCTCCACATCCTCACCAGCACTTGTCTTTTGCTGATTTGTTGATGATTGCCATTCTGATAGGTGTGAGATGGTACTGCATTGTCATTTTGATTTGCATCTCTGGCTTTTCTTTATTGTTTAATCAGCAAGCATTAAATATTGAGTGCTTGGCTATCTGATAACTGATATGAATGTTTTTGAGAGGTTTTGTTTGTTATTTCTAACCTCACCTTTAAAAAAAACACACACACCATATTTCAGGATTTTTTAAAGGCATATGAGAACCATGAGTGATCAATTAGAACAATTTTATATTGTACTAGAGGCCCAAGGCTAAGGGCACAAATTTGTGCACTGATGGGGGCCCATCCAGCCGGGCTGGCAGGCGGAGGGGCCACAGGCAGTTGACTGGCCAGCCTTGACCCTGATTGGGGTGTTGGGGGCTAATTAGGGGCAAGACGTGAAATAAGACAATGAATAAAATTATAAGATTAAAATGAGTTTAAAGAAGATATTTTCTTTTAAAGCACTTGGCATTCTTATTTTTAATAACTTCACTAATGAGAGAGAGAAACCAAGATGGCGGTATAGGTAAACATCTAAACTGCTGCCTAACACAACAATTTCAAAACTACAATTAAAAGATAAAACCAACATCACCCAGAACCACAGGAAAGCTGGCTGAGTGGAAGTTCTACAACTAGAAGGAAAGAGAAAAGAGCATTGAGACATGCACAAGTGCTGAAAAGCTGAGGTATGGAGGGACGTGAACCAGGCTAGTGGCGGGCATTGCTTTTTTCAACCCTAAGGGAGACAAGCTCCTGATTACTCTGAAATCCAGTTTCTGGGGAGACACTGGGGACCCAAACTCCTACAGGGAGAAGCTGGACTGTCTGCTATCAGATCAGAAAGTGAGGGCAGCTTGCTTGCAGAGCTGTACACAGGAATCATTGTTTACTGCACTGGGATATGAGGTGTGGGGATGTGAAAACTCAGAGATGCAGAGGCAACTGACTGGCAGCCATCACTTTTTGCCACGCCCTAGCCTAGTGACTCCCTGAGACCCCGCCCCACACAATCTACAAAACCTCCCAAGCTCCACACAGCTGCTTTTGCATATGAATGCCCTACCCTATTGCAGCTTAACTTAGATCAGATAGCTCCAAAACCTCCAAACCCCAAGCAAAAAGGAGAAAACTGTAGTTCTCACTATAGCTCCTGCTGTGTGGCCTCAGACAGTAGCTGATCTGCACCCCATTGGGCTTCCAGAAGCCATTGTTCCTAATGGTCAGTGTGAGAAGACACCAGATTTCAACTCCTCACATCCATAAGTGACACGCTTGGGAGGCTGACTCAGTGAGCACCAAAGCCCCACTGAAGCAAGTCCTGCCCCATAAGAAATTTTCAGTGCATCAGTTCTTTCATTATAGACACAGTGGGTCCTCACAGCAAATTGGCCTGGAGGTCAATTCCTCCCAGTGTACCAGCAGCAATCAAGGCTTAACTACACCAAGATGCTGCACTCAGCCCACACAGGGGTGCACCAAGAGCATCCACCTTGGTGATTGGGGAGGCTGAGCCTTTGGCCCCTATAGATCACCTACCACACAAAGCCACTCCATCAACACAGGGAAACAGCCAAAATGCGGAGACAAAGAAACATGTCACAAATGAAAGAAATGGAAGAAAGCAAACTCCTGGACTTAAAAGTTCAAAACCACATTTATAAGGTTATTCAAGAATTTTCTAAAATCTACCAACAAACTTGATAAGACCTATGAGGAGCTTAGTGAGACCTTCAAGGACCTTAATGAGAATGCCAAAAAAATGGAAAAGGACCAGTCAGACATTAAGCATACACTGTCTGAAATAAAGAATTTCTAGAAGTTCAACTGTAGATCAAAGGACTCCAAGAATCAAACCAAAGATCTGAAATATGAAGAAATAAAAAACACCCAACTAGAAAATCTAAAAGAAAAAATAATCCAAAAATATGAAGATAGGGTAAGGATCCTCTGGGACAACTTTAAGTGTACCAACATCTAAATTATTGGGGTAGCAGAAGAAGAGAGAGAGAGAGCAAAATATTGAAAGCCTATTAGAAGAAATAATGACAGAAATCTTTCCCTATTTAGGGAAAGAAATAGACTTACAAGTCCAGGAAGTGCACAGAACCCCAAACAAGAGGAATTCAAAAGGACAATACCAAGACACACCATCTGATTTCTCTTAAGTCCAAGCCCTTGACCAGAATCAAATCTGTGACCCTTCAGTTCCAGGCCGAGGTTCTAACCTCTGAGCAAAATCAATTTGGCTAGTCCTAAATTCTAATGCTGCAGTATATACATGCATGCCTCTGTGTGTGGGGGTTGGGGGAGTGGGAGTGGTTCTGTTTTAGAGGTGGCATTTCCAACACAAGAAAACATTCACATCCCATTTTCACTCCTGCCCTTTATTTCCCTAAGTGTGGAAGTGTATCAGTATATTTTTTGCAGTGTTTTGGGATTTAGGGTATTAATTTAAAATACTTGTCATTTGATAAACTGAAAATAGGGTTGAATATTAAGTATACTAAAGAAGGAGAAAGAAATTTCTTCTGCTTGTCCTTTATCTGCCTACAAGTTTAAGTATTATATGAAATTCACAGGGGGTAAGGCTTAAGAAACAGTATGTGGTCGATCAATTATTACAGATAAGTATTAGAATATACATTTCTTGTACAAAGTTAGATTGGTGAAAAGTCATTTGAATTATGGTCATAAAGCACTGTTGCCATAGAAATGAGAAGATTCACTATAACTGGATTTTTACTTTGTTGTTGTTACCAGGTATACTTTATATTATTAGGGAAGGTTACTGCTAGATTTTATTTAGTTATTTAATCATTGAGCAGAAGCAAAAAGGCTTCTGAGGAACTATAGTCTTGCTGTTGTCTACAGTCATTACTGAGGTGGGGTCTTTGCTATTTCTGTTGCTATAGGGATTAACAAGGATGAAAATATAAACTGATTTTTATAAGATAGCAAAATTTATTAATGGTGTTATCAGAGAAATCATTTCACTGACCTTCGGTTATGGAAGTGTTTATAGGCAATGTCATAGTTCATCTTTGTAAAAAACTTTAAATATCCTTACTAGAAGATTAGTTATTTATTTTTATCAGGTTTCTTTTTCTTTTCTTTTTTTTTCTTTTCTTTTCTTTAATATATTCTTATTGATTTCAGAGAGGGAGAGAGAGATAGAAATATCAATAATGAGAGAGAATCATTGATTGGCTGCCTCCTGCATGCCCCCACACTGGGGATCGAACCTGCAACCAGAGCATGTGCCCTGGCCAGGAATCAGTCCATGACTTCCTGGTTCATAGGTCAACATCCAACCACTGAGCAATGCCAGCTGGGCATTTTTTGTTTTTTTTTTAACCAGGATTTGTTGTACCTTTTAATAATGTATCTAAGTCTTAAACTAATTAGTTTACAGAAGGAATCCTTTTAGGTTCAGGAGACAAAATATAATTCATATTCACTATTCAAAACTTATTTCAGATTCTTATTTAAATACTGAAAATTTCAGTCGAGAAGAGTAAATTTATAGTCTTAACTGACTACTTCCATTACCAAAAGGGCCTTCAGAATAGGGAAGAATTGTCCTTTTTCTTTGATTTGTGACTTTTGGCAGATTAGTCTCATTGAGCATCTGTTTCTCTGTCTGGTGACCTTAATATAATAAAGAAATAATCTTTTAAAAAATTGCTAAATGACTCCATTTTCCTTGTGCCCTTGACACATTCCTAATATAAGGATTTATATATTAGTGTGATTTAAAAAACAAACAAACAGGTAAGCATTCTGTAAAAGTGGCCCCCTTTTTTTGGCCTCCAGAAATGCCAGCCTCATGGGCCCCCTGCTTGAGACAATGCTCTAATACCAATACAAAATCCTCAATAATTTTTTTAGCAAGGTGCCCTAGATTTGTTTTATTTTGCACTGGTCCCACAAATTATGTAGCTACTCCTGGTCCCCAGAAACTAGTTGTGATAACATTTTAATACATACTAAATAGTAGTTGTCTATGTAATCCAAGTCTATAACCCTATAAATGTCCACAACTACAAAAGGAATCTTTGTGCACAAATTTTATTAAAATGTATTGTAATGGAGAAAAAAATTCATGTAGCTGACTTGGGTTACCTACATGTAAACCTTTTCAATGTTAGCTTTCATAATAGAAGGTTGTTTGAAATTTGTTATTTAGAACAAAATTCTATCATTTTAGAACACAAATTACTTACAATACAAAACACCCTACTAGATAAAATAAATTCAAAGCAGGATTTAACTTGTTGTATCATTACAGGTTATCAAGTTATGCCCAACCAGCAGCAAAACTACCAAGGAATAGTTGGAATTCAGCAACCCCAGAGTCAGAGCCTGGTTGGTGGCCAACCCAACAGCATAGGAAATCAGATTCAAGGAGTGATCATCCCTTACCCTTCAGTGCCATCATATCAGGTACGTTATCACTCACCTCCATTGGGTAGAGGTAATTTTGAATAAATAAAATGTATAGCTATGATGTATTGTCCCTCTTCTTTTTAATATGGGATTAAAAGGTTATCCAATGTTCTATAATACATAATTTTATAGTCTTAAGATTAAGAGTTTTATTAGTCATAGCAGTTTGTTTTATCATTTTATTGCTTTATTCATTCGCTTCTTTAATTTTTAGGGAAAAAATATTGAGCTACTTTGATATTGACAGGTAAATTTTCCTGGCATTAACTGTGTTTCTGACTACCTAAGTATATAAGCAAGTATCTTACTCTATAATTCAGCCTCTTAAGGAAAGTGGAATGGGACAGAAAATAGAAATGGAAATAGGTATTTGAAATAATAAAATGGAATACAGGCTATCAGTACTTATAGAATAGAGGAGATTGTGCAGTTGTCCATGTTGGAAGTGAGTATTTCCCTCAATCCGAAAAGAAATGATATGTATTTTAAAATGACATGGATTTTAATTTAGTTCTAAAGTAGAAATACCGATTGTTTCATGAATAAGTTATTTTTTATTATAATGTGCCACGGATCAGGCCCAAACTAGCAGTCCGAATCCCCTGAGGCAGGTAGTAGTGTGCAAAGTGGCAGCCAGCCAGGCACCACACCACTCCCACTCATCCTGGCCCCACTGTGCATGCCGCCATTGCCGCTCAGTAGCACGCTGCCACAGAGGCGAGAGAGGCTTGCACTGCTACAACGGCACTCACCAGCCTTGAGCTGGTGTCTGGTGCCCATTAGTCACCTGAGCGGCACTCCCACTGTGGAAATGCACTGACCACCAGAGTGCAGCTCCTGCATCTGCCCCCTGTGGTCAAAGCATGTCATAGCAACAGGTCATTCGGTCACTTAGGCATCTATAGATATATAGATATAGATAATAGATATAGATGTATATAAATATATATAGTTTTCCGTAACTGAGTCTAATGTTAAGAAATCCAAAGATCATTTCCATTCATTTCCTCAAGGGAAAAACAGTCTAGTTGAGAAGATAAATGTACATGTATGTTATCTAAACATAATTAAATTTGTGATACTATTCAGACTAGTAACTGAATGAATCATGAAATATAACCATGACCAGATTAGAGACTTAATAAGAAGTATTCTAGGAAGATATAAACCTTAAATTATCTCTTAAAATAACAGGCACAAATTGGTTAGAAAGACATTCTGGGGATAGGGAAGTATATGAGCAAAGGTGCTAGCATATTCCACTTAGTTCCAGAAAGTCAAAATTAAAATTAATATGTAAAATGTGGAATTATCAAGGATGTCTGATCTTGAAGCCCCCTAATTATAGAAGGCAATTAAGAAAAAAGGGGGAAAAAATACATTCTGAAACTATATATTTTTAAAGTCTATTTTTATTGATTTTAGAGAAAGAGGAAGGGAGAGAGAGAAACATTTATGTAAGAAATATCAATCAAAATCTCAATAGACTAGTGACTTGGGAAGAAATTGAAACAGTCATCAAAAAGCTTCCAGCAAACAAAAGCCCAGGGCCAGATGGCTTCACAGGAGAGTTTTACCAAACATTCAAGGAAGAACTAAAACTTGTCCTCCTCAGACTATTCCAAAAAATACAAGAGGATGGGACACTTCCAAACTCCTTCTATGAAGCCAGCATCACCCTAATACCAAAACCAGATAAAGACAACTCATGAGCCGAAACCGGTTTGGCTCAGTGGTAGAGCATCGGTCTGCGAACTGAAGGGTCCCGGGTTCGATTCCGGTCAGGGGCATGTACATTGGTTGCGAGCACATCCCCGGTGGGGTGTGTGTAGGAGGCAGCTGGTCGATGTTTCTCTCTCATGGACATTTCTAGCTCTCTATCTCTCTCCTTTCCTCCTCTCTGCAAAATATCAATTTAAAAAAATATATTTAAATAAATAAATAAAGACAACTCAATGAAAGAGAATTACAGGCCAATATCCCTCATGAACATATTATAGATGCCAAAATTCTAGCAAATCGGCTCCAGCAGAGCATCACAAAGATCATACACCATGACCAAGTAGGATTTATTCCAGGAATGCAAGGATGGTACAATATCCGCAAATCAATAAACGTGATACATCACATAAACAAATTGAAAGATAAAAATCATATAGTCATATCAATTGATGCAGAAAAAGCATTTGATAAAATCCAACACCCTTTCCTGATAAAAACTCTCAACAAGGTGGGAGTACAAGGATCATACCTCAACATAATAAAAGCTATACATGATAAACCCACAGCCAACATTATACTCAATGGGCAAAAACTAAAACCATTCTCTCTAAGAACAGGAACAAGACAGGGATGCCCACTTTCACCACTCCTGTTTGACATAGTACTGGAAGTACTAGCCATTGCAATTAGACAAGAGGAGGAAATAAAAGGCATCCACATTGGAAAAGAAGAAGTAAAGTTATCCTTATTTGCAGATGACATGATATTGTACATAAAAAACCCAAAAGACTCCATTAAAAAACTAATTGACTTAATAAATGAATTTGGCAATGTAGCAGGATACAAAATTAACGCCAAGAAATCCATGGCATTTCTATATACCAACAGTGAAATTATAGAAACAGAGACTAAAAAAGCAATTCCATTTACCATCGCACCAAAAAAATTAAGATACCTAGGAATAAATTTAACTAAGGAAGTAAAGGACCTATATGCGGAAAACTACACGACACTGAAAAAAAAGAGATAGAGGAAGATGTAAAGAGATGGAAGAACATACCATGTTCATGGATTGATAGAATCAACATCATCAAAATGTCCATACTTCCTAAAGCAATCTATAGGTTCAATGCACTCCCCATTAAAATACTAACGGCATATTTCATTGACCTAGAAAGAACTCTCCAAAAGTTCATTTGGAACAATAAAAGACCTCGAATAGCCACAGCAATCCTGAGAAAAAAGGGTAAAGTAGGAGGGATCTCAATACCAGACTTCAAACTGTATTACAAAGCCACGCTTCTCAAAACAGCCTGGTACTGGCACAAGAACAGACATATAGATCAATGGAATCGAATCGAGAACCCAGATATCAACCCAAATCACTATGCTCAATTAATATTTGACAAAGGAGGCATGAATATACAATGGAGTCAAGACAGTTTCTTCAATAAATGGTGTTGGGAAAATTGGACAGATACATGTAAAAGAATGAAACTAGATCACCAACTTACACCATACACAAAAATAAACTCAAAACGGATACAGGTCTTAAACATCAGATGGGAAATCATAAAAATACTAGAAGCATCCACAGGCAGCAAAATCTCAGACATATGCCAAAAGAACTTCTTCACTGATACTGCCCCTAGGGCAATGGAAGCTAAAGAGAAAATAAACAAATGGGACTACATCAAAATAAAAAGCTTTTTTACAGCAAAAGAAACCATCAACAAAACAACAAGAAAGCCCACTGTGTGGGAGAACATATTTGCAAATGTTACCACTGATAAAGGTTTAAACTCCAACAGCTTATACAACTAAATAAAAGGAAGATGAATGATCCAATTAAAAAATGAGTAATGGACCTAAATAGAATATTTTCAAAAGAAGACAAAAGGAAGGCCAAAAGGCACATGAAAACATGCTCAAAGTCACTAATTATCCGAGAGTTGCAAATCAAAACAACAATGTGATACCATCTCACACCTGTCAGAATGACCAACATCAACAAATCAACAAACGACAAGTGTTGGCGAGGTTGCGGAGAAAAAGGAACCCTCGTGCATTGCTGGTGGGAATGCAGATTGGTCAACCACTATGGAGAACAGCATGGAGTTTCCTCAAAAAACTGAAAATGGAACTCCCATTTGACCCAGTAATCCCACTCCTAGGAATATATCCCAAGGAACTAGAAAAACCAATCAGAAAGGATATATGCACACCTATGTTCATAGCAGCACAATCTACAATAGCCAGAATTTGGAAACAGCCTAGGTGCCTGTCAGCAGATGATTGTATCAAAAAACCATGGTACATCTACACAATGGAATACTATGCTGCCATAAAAAAGAAGGGATTCTCATCATTTGCAGCAACCTGGATGGAATTGGAGAACATCATGCTGAGTGAAATAAGCCAATCAATGAAAGAGAAACACCACATGACCTCACTCATTTATGGATAATCAAGTACATTATAAACTGATGAACCAAAAGATAGATATAGAGACAGTAAAGCAACAAGCAGACTGTCAAATTACAGCGGGTTAGGGAGGGAGATCTGGGGAAGATAATAGATCAACCAAAGGTCTTGTATACATGCATATAAGTACAACCAATGGACATAAAACTCTGGGGAAGGAGGGTATGTATGAGAGGGAGGGAGGGGAGGAAAAAATAAAAATAAAAATGTCAAGAGCCTTGAAATAAAATAAATAAATAAATAAATTTTAAAAAAAGAAATATCAATCAATTGGTTGCATCCTGCATGTACCCCAAGTGGATTCAAACCTGCAACCTGTGCATGTATCCTGATCCAGAATCAAACAGACAACCTTCTGTACACAGGATGTTGCTCACCCAACTGAAGCACACCAGCCAGAACATGACAGTAAATTTGAATCTCTTTTCTCATATTTTGCATGCTTTTTATTTTGTATCCTCCATGCATGAGCCTAGTTTCATCAGACGGCCCATCCCCTACTTTTTTTCATAGCTAGACAGTCTACAGGTTGAGTACCAAGGAACTCTCCCTTCTCAGGAACCCTGGTTATGCTCCCTAATCCAGTACATTGAGCATCTATTAGAGAAGATGGCCAGGCACTGCATACATAAGATTTACTCTTGGCCTTAGTGGCTCACAGTCTAGTGTAAGAAATATAATTTTTATTTTTTTTTATTTTTTGTGAATCCTCATCCAAGAAAATTTTTTCCCATTGGTATTTAGAGAAAGTGGAAAGGAGAGGAAGAGACAGGGGGAAACATTGATGTGAGAGAGACACATCAAATTGGTTGCCTCCTACACAACCCCATCCTAAGCTGGGATTGAGGCTGCAACCCTTCACTCCATGCCCTGATGCTCTAACCGTTGAACTAATAAACTGGCTAGGGCAGAGAATGTAATTTTTTTTTCCTTTTTTTTAAAAAAAATTATTATCTGTGTACATATTTTAACATTGCCCCTCCCATTCCATACATACCCTCCCTCCCAAGAGTTTTGTGTCCATTGGTTGTACTTACAAGTCCTTTGGTTGATCTCTTATCTCCCCCAGATCTCCCTATCCTCCCCATTGTAATTTTACAGTCTGCTTTTTGCTTTACTGTCTTTATATCTGACTTTTGGGTTGTCAGTTTATAATGTTCTTTAATATCCATAAATGAGTGAGGCCATGTGGTATTTATTTCTCTTTCATTGACTGGCTTATTTCTCTCAGCATGATGTTCTCTAGTTCTATTTAGGTTGCTGCAAATGATGAGAATTCCTTCTTTTTTATGGCAACATAGTATTCCATTGTGTAAATGTACCATAGTTTTTTGATCCAATCATCTTCTGATGGGCACGTAGGCTGTTTCCAGATGAGAATGTAATTTTTAAATAAAGTATAACCTTATTGGTGTAGTTTTTAAAATGGAACTAGATATTAAAAATGCTTCAGAGCTAAGACAGTTATTATTTCTATAGCATACATTTTTATAAGCTATAAATTATTTTCCCATGGCATTTCATGTAATTGCTCAAATTGGGTGAATGAATATGGGAGCTGTTATACTCTGATGAGCAATGAATGACAGCCTCTTTATTTTTTCTCCTACATTTGGTAGCTGGATAGTGATAAACTGTTGCCTAAAAAATAAGCCAGAAAAGTCTTCTATCCTCAGTAGAGTGTACTCTGTGGCTGTACATTCTCAAGTACTGTTCCCTCTCTGTTTTAGTACTTCAGTTTTCTTTGTTACCACTAGCTGCAGCAAGCATGTTAAACTCACAGCTGGGGGCCACACGCCTCATTTAAGTTTGCCATCCTTGAACTATAGATTTATCATTTAAATCATGTAAATTGAGCTGTGTCATTCTTCCTAAATCTGCCCTGTATATGTATTAACTTAGTTATAACCAGAAATAATCCTATATAAAAAAAAGTTGTAATATGCAAATGGTTGTTATGTCATGAAGCGTAAGGACTGGTTCACAGATCAGCAGGAGGGTGGGGCAGTGAGCTACAAGTGGGTGGTGGAGAGCTACAGGAGGGCGGGGCAGCAGGTGGAGGGCGGCGGTGAGCTACTGGCTACAAACTGGCAGCTGAGAGATACAGGAGGGGGCAGGGCAGCAAGACTATGAGAGGGTCTAGGGTGGGGGAACCACAGGAGGGCAGGGCAGTGGGTAGAGAGCTACTGCAGGGCAGCAGCGAGCTACTGATGAGCTATTGGTGCACAGGTTCGTGAGCAGAGCTACTAGTCTATATAATAAAAGCCTAAGTGACCTTTGTGGTGGATTGACCAGAACAACTGGTCGCTATGATGTGCACTGACCACCACCAAGGGGCAGATGCTCAATGCAGGAGCTGCCCCTGGTGGTCAGTGTGCTCCCACAGGGGAGCGTTTATCAGCCAGAAGCCAGGCTCATGGCTGGCGAGCTCAGCTGTGATGGTGGGAGCCTCGTCTGTCTCCACTAAGGAGCAGCAAGCCAAGCAGCAAGGAGCAGTGAGCAGGTGGGCGGTCTTATGCATCTAACCTACTGTACAATTGATAAATGCTAGTGAAAAACAATAGCTGGCAAAAATAAAGTGGTAGTGTTATGGCTAACTTATCAGGACAGCCTATTGACAGTTTTAGATTACTCCTTAACTGGTCATACAGTAAAACCTAGATATAACAGATTAATTCAGGCAACGGGGTGTCCGTTAAAGCTGAAAGCCTATTATATAATAAAATAGGTTTTCCAAATGTATATGTTAAAAAATTGACACGTTAATTTACCTGTTTTATATAAACACATTTGTTTAATTAAAATTAAGTATGTATGAAAAGTTTAATTTCACAAAAAATTTTTCTATTTATACTACTGTAATTTAAAATTCCTACTGAATAGGTCTAGTAAATGTATGCATTCACCAGTCACCTTGAATGAAAAAATGCACATAGCTGGAGGTATGACTTAGCCAAGTGCACATCAGAACATCAGCCAGCATGCGTTACAACTGCTGCAGAAAGTCATGCCAGGCAACAACAGAACCAACTACCCCAAGTGATGTGGTGGATGTGATCACATGATAGTCATTACCTGAACACTGTTTACAAGCGGTGTTACCTTTGGATATAAATATGTAGACTATAGTTGTAGATATATAATGTTTATATCAGCAATATTACTTGATTGCTTTTCCCAACATATGGCCTATTCGCTAAAATTTAAAAATGATAATGAGTTCATAACACAAAAAGTAATGTTAATTTAATTATGAGCAAATCTTGGTTACGGCCATTTTTAAATTAACAGGGTATTAATTTCCACATATAACACATGGATCAGAAATTTTGTTCATTAAATTGAAGTCCATAAATTAAGGTCTACAAAATCAAAGGTTTATTGTACTTGAAGTTTATGAAGGCTAGAGACATTAACATTTGCAAGCATTTGAAGAACTTGTTCCTTTAAATTGTCTTTCACATTTTAGGTTTCACTGCCTCAAGGTTCTCAAGGAATTGCCCATCAGACTTATCAACAGCCTGTTATTTTCCCTAATCAATCTAATCAAGGATCTATGCCCACAACAGGAATTCCAGTTTACTATAGTGTCATTCCACCTGGCCAGCAAAATAATTTAAGGTGAGTACAACTAAGAAAACTAATCCTATAGCTTCTCATTCTTTATCGTGATTTTGGTCTGTTGCTAATTTTAAAGTTGCGTCAGGGCAATACCTGAGATCATTCTCTAAAGTAGAATAGAAAAACTATGATACACAATGAGGGGTAATAAGTAATACTTTAAATAATAAAGAATTTAATATAATAATAATAAATAAATAAACAAAAAAATTTTTAAAGAATAACTACGATACAATCTATTTTTCTAATATTTGTTTTAGTCTTTTTTTTACTTACCCACGGAGAATAAAATAGTTGGACACAGACCTTGGAGTTTAGAGCATTTGTTTGTCAGTATTTAAGGACTCTTATAGGAGTTTGATGAGAATATGTTTCCTTTATAAAACATCAGCCGGGACCGGTTTGACTCAATGGATAGAGCATCGGCTTGGGGACTGAAAGGTCCCAGGTTAGATTCCGGTCAAGGGCATGTACCTTGGTTGCGGGCATATCCCCAGTAGGGGGTGTGCAAGAGGCAGCTGATGGATGACTCTCTCTCATCGATGTTTCTGACTCTCTATCTCTCTCCCTTTCTCTCTGTACAAAATCAATAAAATATATTTTAAAAAAAAAAAAAAAAACATCAGCAGCAAAATATCATACTCAATTTTTTCAGACTCTGGGAAGCTCATTTTTTATCAGTAAGGGGAGGGAGATTTATAAGAGAAGCAAATGATAGTAGTTCTGCATTAAAGCAAGCCATGAATTATTCCATTAGCTACTTCAGCTTGGAAGAATAGAAGCTTCTCTGATAAACTTAATGTGTTAAAAAATAGTAATTTTCCTTTGAATTGGGTATCTGTAGTTTTTGTTCAGAGTACATTACAGTCCTTCAGTTATTCTCAGGACATCCCTATGGGTTTGTCATAAGGGCCACAGTGCTTTTATAAGAAGGGGTCTTTAGTTATAATTGCTGATAAGAGGTTGCCACCTAGTACAGTTACAGGTGTTATTTATGGGTAAAGAGGGGATTGACATACTTTCTTCACTGAATCTGCTTGGGAAATGGGACTTGGCTCTCATGTTGTGTGTTGTCAGAAATACACACACACAGTCCATCCCCCGAGGAATTCGCATGGCTCTGTGGCAGCCACAGGTTAAAGAGGCCTGGCCCAGAGTAGAAGCTTAGTAAATCCATACTAAATTAAAACACTTCTTTAATTACAAAGGCCAGCTTGCACATAATTAATTCTCATTTATGTACCATATTATTGGCCTTAATATTATTTTGTTTCTGTAACTCTATATACTTTTTAAATTTTTTTATTAAAATTTTTTATCACTTAATTATGCTTGTTGACACAGTGAAGCAATCAATATAAAGATGTGTAAACGGAAAGCTAACTATCATGTTCCCACTCTGGTCACCAGTGCTCACAAGCTGTTATGCATTCTGTTTGTATTGGCCTGCTCAAACATATGTGCATATAAATACATATTTATATATTTATTGGAATTGGTTGATAGGTTCTAGTGAAATAGACATTATCTTGCATTTTCCCCTTATTAATATATCATGAAATCAGATAAATATTAGTCTAAAACATTCTGTTAAGGTTTTGTTGTGGTTTTTTTTTCCATCTGATTTCTTTACAAACATAATTTTACATAAATGAGATCTTGTCATACAGGCAGTTTTTTGTTGTTCTCCTTGGATCATTTCCCACTCACGCACATTCTGGGTAACCCATGTTTCTATAATGGTCTGTGTCCTTTTGCACTTTTCTATTTGTACCTAATTATATACTAACATAGATATGGGTATGAAAACATGAGCAAATTAATTAGCAAAAGCACATGAAATGGAATTTATAATTTTACATGTAAATTAGACAAACTTTTTTTTTATTGACCTGAAAAAAAAGGAAGAGGGAGAGAGAGAGAGAAACATTAATGATGAGAGAGAATCACTGATTAGCCACCTCCTTCACGCCCCCACTGGGGATCAAGCCCACAACCTGGGAAATGTGCCCTTGTCCGGAATCAAACATGGGGTCCCTCAATCCATAGGCTAACACTTATGCATTGAGCCAAACCAATTAGGGCTAAAACTTTTTTTATGTGATTGATTGTATTTATGTATATGGTATCTATATTCTATCTAATAAAGAGGAAATATGCTAATTGACAGTTCCACCCTGCCAGCCACTTTCTAATTAATTTCTTTTCAATGTGCTCAAATCCATGTATGAGGCCACTAGTTTGTATATAATGAGAGAGTTTAATCCATTTATGGTTAGTATTTAGTATTACAACTAATACAGTAGATTTTTTTTCTGTCAGCATATGTTTGTTTATTTTACCACACTGTACTTATAGCTGCATGCCTGATTATAGTGCCATTTTATCAGAAGCATTGAGGCTCTTTATCATGGAATCTCACTAATCTGATAATATCAGGGCATGAGATGGTCTAATTAGCTACTTTTTTGGATCAGTGAATCTTGTGCCATTAGGCATTAGTTATCATGATATGGTTATTAAGAACACAGCTTTGAAATCTAAACAAAACCTGACTTCAAGCCTGTGCAATTTTAGGCAAGTTAGACTTTTTGCGCTTTGGTTGTCTCGTTTATAAATTAGGAATAATATTCACAGGATTGGTGTGAGGGATTACGTCTCTATACTTTGGTATAGAAATTCCATATTCTAAAATAGATACTTGCCTGTATTCTTAAGTAGAGCACACTAAAAATAGTTAAACTATTATATTTGTTGCTGATTCAGACCTACAGTCTTGAGCATCGGTGATTATATTGTGTCCCCGCAGTATTTTGAAGCAAATAAGGAATATTTTCACTTATAAATGCTCTTTGATTTATGATAGGGTTAAGTTCTGATAAATCCATCCTAAATTGAAAATATCATAAGTAGAAAATATTTTTAATACACCTAACCTACATAATAGCTTAGCCAGTCTACCTTAAACATGCTCAGAATAATCACATTAATCTACAGTTGGGCAAAATCATCTAACAGCGAATACACTATAATGTCAGTTATTAACCCTTGTGATTGTATGCCTGACTGAAGCTACAGCCACAGCTGTTGCCCAGCATCACAGAGTGTATTGTGCCCAGCTGGTGTTGCTTAGTGGTTGAGCTTCAACCCATGAGCTGGAAGGTCCTGGTCCGATTCTGCTTAGGGCGCGTGCCCGTGTTGTGGGCTCAGCCCTCGGTGGGAGATGTGCATGAGGCCCAGGCCCAGACCAGGACTGCGTATTGAACCTGCAAGGCAGGTACTGCACTTGACCAAGCATTAGTCCTGTGACCCTTTGGTGCATGAGCTGATGCTCTAACTGCTTAGAGCCTTAGGCCAGGCCTCTCCAGTTTTTTTATTTTCCCTCCAGGTTCTCCAGCTTACATAATTACTACTATCTCAAGATAGATGATTTCTATGTCTTTATTAATATTTTCTAATTGTTAATGCAACATTGTTACCATTCTTTCTTTACTTCCTTAATCATGGTTTCCTTTGATTGGGTTGTGGTTTTTTCTGATAAATGTGAAAAATTCTTCATTCTCATAGGGAGTTTCTGTTCCCTGCTTTCCTAAGGTATCTGTCATACTTTTCTGTTTCATTGCATCTCTTGTAATAATATATTGGAGTAACTGTAGGTATCTCCTATTGTTTGCTTGTGTATTTGTTTATAGTGAATGACTGGATTATTTTAATGACATCTATTTAATTCCCCCTTCCGCTCCCCGCTCCCCCACCTCTGGGGTTCAGCCTCTGATGCTGTTCTCAAGCAGGAAAAGCTTTGGGTATTCTCATAGTAATCCTTGGGTGACAGTGGTTTTGGGGGATTCTGTTCCTTTCTTCCGTGACAACACCCAACTGTTAAACTCCACTGGCTGCCAGCTGATTATTCTGCTGTTTTCAATAATGCTTAATTCATAAATTCCTCTACAAAATATTCCAATTAAAATATGGCTCCTGTGAAGGAGAAATTTCTGGGGTCACTGTTTGCTTTTTATTCTGATCTCAGGAGGGCTCTGTCCAGCTCTCTTTTTACCTAGTTTCCTCCTTCAAACCAACATGCCTAAGTTTAGTCTGAATCCTGAATCACCTCACAGTTGTCTAAATGATGGTTTATATTGCAGAAAATCAGTATAGCTCTCCTCACCACACTCCCTGGCATCTGTCAAAAGATTTCTGGAATAGGTTCCAAGATGGCTGACAGTTAACACCTAGCAGCAGCCGCGCACAACAATTTTTTTTTTAAATATATTTTATTGATTTTTTACAGAGAGGAAGAGAGAGGGACAGAGAGTTAGAAACATATATATATATATATATATATATATATATACATATATATATATTTTATTGATTTTGTACAGAGAGGAAGGGAGAGAGATAGAGAGTTAGAAACAACGATGAGAGAGAGTCATCGACCAGCTTCCTCTTGCACACCCCCTACTGGGGATATGCCCGCAACCAAGGTACATGCCCTTGACCGGAATCGAACCCGGGTCCTTCAGTCCCCAAGCAGACGCTCTATCCATTGAGCCAAACCGGTCTCGGCATGAGCCAAACCTGTCTCGGCTGCACACAACAATTTCAATAAAATACAACTAAAATATAAAATGGACATTACCCAGAACTACAGGAAAGTCGACTGACTGGAAATTCTGCAACGAGAAGCAAGGAGAAGGCCAAAAGGAAGCGCGGAGGAGCTGTAAAAGCCTAAGGTACGGAGACACGTGGCGCACGCGGAGAGAAGCGAGGCTGAGTGTCTGCCTGGCATTCCCAAGCGGGAAGGAGATAAAACTCCGACTGTGCTGGGCCCCAGTTCTGACTGCTCTGAACCCCAGTTCTAGGCCAGACCTCAGGGACCCAGGCTCACACAGAGGGAGCTGGGCTCCGAGGCGGAACTCCGGGGAAGCGGCGAAAGGAGGTCCCGGCAGCGCGCACATTGAGCGCAGAGAAGGGACGGTTGGCTATGCTGCTGGATTCCCCGGGCAGGAAGGAGACTGGGGCTCCGGACTGCTCTGAACGCCACCTCCAACTTCACTTCCAACTGAACTGAACCCCAATACCAGGCTCATTGAGGGAGAGCATAGACTGGTAGCAGGCAAAAATCGAAGGCACCTTTCTCTCAGAGGCACTTGCAACTAGTACTGATGGACCCGCATAGGTTGGGGCTAACGGAAGCCAAAGCTGCAGGCTCCACCCTGAAACCCCGCCCCATCCAAGCAGAACACAGACTTTTAAGGCTACCAACTCAGGAAAACTGCGAAAATGCTGAGACGAAATAGATCACAAACGAAAGAAATGGAGGACAAAAAGCGACTGGATATAGAGTACAAATCTACGCTTATAAGGTTTTTCAAGGATTTCCTAGAAAAGATGGATAAGACCTATGAGGATATGACAAGGGACCAACTAGAATTAATAAGGAATCAACAAGAAATGATAAGGGATCAACAAGAAATAAAGAATATATTGACTGAAATAAAAAATATTATACAGAGTCCTAAAAACAGAGTGGAAGTTCACAAGAATCAAGTCAAAGAGTTGGAACATAAAGAGCCAGAAGACACTCCTCCACAGAAGCTAGAAGGCAAGAGAATCCAGGAAATTGAAGATAATGTAAGAAACCTCTGGGACAACTTCAAGCGAACCAACATCAGAATTATGGGGTCCCAGAAGATGTGAGAGAGCAAGATATCAAAAACATACTGAAAGAAATAGTGACAGAAAACTTCCCCCACCTGCTGAAAGAATTAGACTTACAAGTCCAGGAAGCGCACAGAACTCCAAACAAAAGGAATCCAAAGAGGACCACACCAAGACACATCATAATTAAAATTCCAAGAGCAAAAGACAAAGAGAGAATATTAAGAGCAGCAAGAACAAAGCAGGTAGTCACCTATAAAGGAGCACTTACACGATTGTCAGCTGATTTCTCAACAGAAACCATGCAGGCCAGACGTGAATGGCAAGAAATATTCAAGGTGATGAATAGTAAGAACTTAGAGCCAAAGATAATCTATCCAGCAAAGCTATCACTCAGAATCAAAGGTCAGATAAAGAGCTTCACTAATAAAAAAAAAAGCTAAAGGAGTTCACCACCACCAAACCAGAATTATATGAATTGCTGAAGGGGGTTCTTTCAGAAGAGAAAGTAAATAAAGATAAAAATTATGAACAACAAATACGTAACTATCAACAAGTGAATCTAAAAACCAAGGGAATTAAAAAAAAATCTGATGAACAATATTAACTGTTGAATATAATAGAATCAGAGGTATGGAAGGGGAGTGAACTGACGATTCTTGGGGAAAAGGGGAGAGGGGGATGTGGGAAGAGACTGAACATAAACTGTGCACCTATGGATGAGGACAATGGGGAGTGGGGAAAGGGCAGAGGGTGGGGTGGGAACCTGGTGGAGGAGAGCAATGGTGGGCGGGGGGTGGGGGGGAAATATTTGTAATAATATAAACAATAAAAATTTACTTAAAAAAAAAAAAAAAAGATTTCTGAAGGAGCCCTAACCAGTTTGGCTCAGTGAATAGAGCATCGGACTGCGGACTGAAAGGTCCTAGGTTCGATTCCAGTCAAGAGAATGTACCGTCACTGCGGGCATATCCCCAGTAGAAGGTGTGCAGGAGGCAGCTGATCGATGTATCTCATCAATGTTTCTGACTCTCTGTCCCTCTCACTTCCTCTCTGTAAAAAAATCAACATAATATTTTTTTTAAAGAAGATTTCTGAAGGAGATTCAGATAATTAGTTAAAATTAAATTGCTGATCCAACATTTAAAAGTCTAACTTTTTAGACATTTGTCATAGAATATTTTAGTGTTTATTTTTTATAATTACAAAAATACATGCATGCCTTTTTTAAAAATAAAAAATATATAAAAATTATCAAGAATTAAAAAAAAAAAATCAGCCAAAGTCCCATAAACCTAAATTGACTACTGTTATCATATTCAGATTTTTCTATTAGTCTTTTTTTTTCATATTTTTCATATTCATTTAACATAGTTGAGATTCTAATCAATATATTTTGTTCATTTGATACAGTGTTTTGCTGTGACATTAAAATTTTCTTTGTAAATATAATTTTTAATGATTACACTGCTCAATTTTATAAATATGCAAGAATTTATTTAGCCTGTTATAAACATGTAGGACATATCCTTTTTTTTTGTTTTCCCCACTTTGTTGATTCATCTTGAGTGCAACTTGAATTTCTTCTTTGGCATAGAGTCCTTAGAGGGTAAGGCTTAGAGGTAATTAACAGGTCAAAGATATGGTGTTGTGTTTCTTTTCGTTTGTTTTTCTGCCTGGCTGGTGTGGGTCAGTAGTTAAGTGTCAATCCATGAACCAGTTCCCAGTCAGAGCACATGCCTGTGTTGCAGTCTCAAGCCCCAGTAGGAGGCTTATTGGAGGCAGATGATCAATGATTCTCCTCATTGATATTTCTATCTCATTCTCCTCCTTCCTTCTTCTGAAGTCAATAAAAACATTTTTTTATTTCTTCTTTCAGTGTTGTTGTTTTTGTTTGTTTGTTTGTTTGTTTTAATTGTATTGATTACAGAGAGGAAAGCGGAGGAAGAGAGGGAGATAAAAACATTAATGATGAGAGAGAATCATGATTGACTGCCCCCTACTGGGGATCGAGTACCCAACCCAGGCATGTGCCCTTCACCAGAATCGAACCTGGGACTCTGCAATACACAGTCCAACTTTCTATCTCAACTGTATTTTTTATATATATATATATATTTTTTTTTTTTTTTAATTACACTTTGGTAAACTGCAGATTAGGTTTCTTATTTTAAAAATATGTAATGCGATTATCATTTTTTCCATCATGGCTTTGATTCCAAAATACAGTAAAAATTAGGAAATAAATGACTGGAGCAAAGGGGAATTCTACCTATGAATTATCATAGGAGATTATAGGTGAACATTGTAGAAAACCCAAAAGAATAAACTTGTTGGATATTTATGTCATTTGTCAATCTCCATTGCTCGCAAGTATGTCAAACATGCAGCACATCAGCATGCCATTGTCAAACTGCATATTCTATTTTCTAAAATACAGCTTAGTAAGATCGAAAACAATACATTTTTTATTTTATGAAATTAATTATTTTTAAATAATTATTAGAACAATACAAAAAGCATATTTAGAATAATTTGTAAAGAAATACAAGCAGTGAAATTAGTTGTTTTTTCCTGGTTTCAAAAATTTGTATTATTGCAATAAACATGATAATTACCTAAAAGATAATTATTCAAAAGGTAATTATTTTTTAAAATTTTATTGTTTAAAGTATTACAGATAGTAGTACATATGTCTCCCTCTTTACCTCATTGTCCTTCCCCCGGCCTCCCTTACCGTCCCCCCTTAAATGCCTTCAACCCTCCCGCCCCAAAAAAAGATGATTATTTATAACTCACAGAGAAAAGAGTTGCATTTGACTTTTACTGCTAATCAATTTGAGAATTAATTTTATTTAAGAAATTTGTAGGACTGTTCCAAGCACCTTTACAGTCATCTCTGTCTCATTGTGCTGTGCTTTTGTGTTTGTTTTATTTTTCCCCCCCTTAGTTCATCAGTAGGTTACTTACAACATCCAGGATCAGAACAAGTACAGTTTCCTCGAACTACTTCACCCTGCAATTCCCAGCAGCTTCAAAGCCACCAGTGTGCAGGTATGAACAAATAATTGAACAAAAGAATGATTTTTTATTTGAGGAAAAATTAAGTTCCTTAGGCACATTTTTTTCAATTTGATAAATCTTTATTGTTCATATTATTACAATTGTTCTTCTTTTTTTTCCCCATAGTTCCCCTCCACCCAGTTCCCATCCCACCCCATGCTCTTACCTCCCACCACTGTCCTCATCCATAGGTATATGATTTTTGTCCAGTCTCTTCCTGCACCCTCCTACACCCCTTTACCCCCACCCCTCACCCCGAGAATTGTCAGTCCATGCCCTTTCTATGCCCCTGATTCTTTTATATTCACCAGTTTATTCTGTTCAGATTTTTTATTCACTTGATTTTTAGATTCACTTGTTGATAGATATGTATTTGTTGTTCATAATGTTTATCTTTACCTTTTTCTTCTTCTCCCTCTTCTTAAAGAAGACCTTTTAGCATTTCATATAATGCTGGTTTGATGGTAATGAACTCTGTTAGCTTTTTCTTATCTGTGAAGCTCTTTATCTGCCCTTAAGTTCTGAATGATAGCTTTGCTGGGTAGAGTAATCTTAGTTGTAGGTTCTTGCTATTCATCATTTTGAATATTTCTTGCCACTCCCATCTGGCCTGCATAGTTTCTGTTGAGAAATCATCTGACAGTCGTATGGATACTCCCTTTTAGGTAACTGTTTTTTCTCTTGCTGCTTTTAATATTCTCTCTTTGTGTTTTACTCTTGGTACCGGTATTTTAATTATGATGTGTCTTGGTGTGGTCCTCTTTGGATTCCTCTTGTTTGGCATTCTGTGCACTTTCTGGACTTGTAAGTCTAATTTTTTTCACCAGTTGGGGAAATTTTCTGTCATTATTTCTTCAAATATGTTTTCAGTATCTTGCTCTGTCTCTTCTTCTGGCACCCCCATATGTGGATGTTGGTACACTTGAAGTTGTCCCAGAGGCTCCTTACACTATTTTCATATTTTTGGATTTTTTTTTTCTTTTCCAGTTGGGTGTTTTTTGCTTCTTTGTATTTCAAATCTTTTATTTGATTCTTGCAATCCTCTAGTCTGCTGTTGGATCTCTGTATATTATTTTTTATTTCAGTCAGTGTATGCTTAATTTCTGATAAATTTGGTCCTTTTTCATATCCTAGAGGGTCTCACTAAATTTATCAGCCTTTTTTAGAAAATTCTTGAAAAACCTTATAACTCTATATCCAGTCATTTGCTTTCCTCTATTTCTTCCATTTGTGACCTGTTTCTTTGTCTCCGAATTTTGGCTGCTTCCCTGAGTTGATAGTGGCTTTGTGAGCTAGGTGTCCTATAGGGCCCAGTGACTCAGCCTTCCCAGTTACCTGAGGTGGACACTCTTGGTGCACTCCTTTGTGGGCTGTGTGCACAGTCTTGTTGTAGTTAAGCCTTGATTGTTATTGGTAATCACTGGGAGGAATTGACCTCCAGGCCAATTGGCTGTGAGGATCAGTTGTGTCTATGGTCAGAGAACTGCTGTGCTGGAGACACCCTTATGAAACAAGACTTGCTTTAGTGAGGCTTTGGTGCTCACTGAGTCTGCCCCCTGAGTGTGTGCCTTGTGGATCTGAGGAGTTGTAATCTGGATAGTCCCACTCTGACCCCTGGATACACTGACTCTTGGATCACTAAGAAGGTGCTAATTTAGCCTCTGCCTGAGGCTACCCAGCAGGAGCTACAGAGAGATCTGCAGATTCCTCTTCTTTGTTTGAGTTTTGGAGATGCCCAGATGAGCCCCAGCTGTGAAGCAATGCAAGCTACTGCAGGGCCTTGGAACTTCTTTTGGATATTCAGGGTCTCACTGACTCAGCTGCAATCTGTTAGGTAAGTTTAGAATTCAAAGGACCAGGGCATTCATAAACAAAAGCCTCTGTACTCAGCTTGAATGGGGCGGAGTCTCAGGGCAGAGCAAACAGCAATGGCTTCCCATCAGCCTTGCCCTAATAGGCCCCTGGGTTTCAGGGTCCCGAGGTAATCGCTACAAGCACCTCTGAGAGAAAGCTACCCTCGAGTTTCGCCTACTGCCAGACAGTCCAATTTCTCCCCGTATGAGTCTGGGTCCCCAGAGTCTCCCCCGGAACTGGAGTTCCGAGCATTCGGGAGTTTTTGTCTCTCTCCACCTTGAAAAAGACAGCTGCATACTCAGTTACCAGCCCTCTCCATGCACGCCTCCATACTTCTGCCTTCCGCAGCTCCTGTGAGTCTCAGTGTGCTTTTCTCTTTCCTTCTAATTGTAGAATTTCCACTCAGCCAGCCTTCCTGTGGTTCTGGATGATGTCTTTTAGTTGTAGTTTTTGAAATTGTTGTACGAGGCAGAAGTTTAGGTGTTTACCTATGCCTCCATCTTGGTTTCTCCTCTCCTTAGGCATTTCTTGAAAAGGTTTTCAGCTTGCTGTGTGCTGAGGTATACCTAGGATATTTAAGGTACCATGCAAAATCAGAGTTGGAAAGTTCAATCTACTTCTTCATTCCTGCTGCTGCCATTACTACACTGCTGTCCTGTTCTTCTCAGGCTCTTCCTTCCTTGCCTCTAGATATTGATGTTCTCTAGGATCCTCTCCTAGGTGCACTCTGGTTTCTCTTCAAGGTCTTCCTAAGGAACCCAACACCTCCTACGCTTCAACTACTGCTTTTTGCCAACACTTCCGTAATCATATTTCTGCTGAGAGACAACCATATAGCCAGTTATCTACTGAACATTCTAACCCAGATGTGTCAAAGGGACTTCAGATTTACTATTTCTCCTTACCTATCTATAAACTAAAACAAAGCTCAAAGTCAAAATTAACTCTCTGTTCTCTTTTCACATTCATGCCGTCACCATTTCCGCAAATATGTTACCTTCTTTTCCTTCCCCACTGCTGCTGCTTTTGATCAATTCTTTCCATGTTTTATTTGCAGTAATCAGGTGTTTTGCTTATTTCATATTTCCCCTACACCCACCTTTTCTCTTCCTCAAGCACATATACAGACAGTTCAAAAATTATTGTCCTAAAACAGAAGTCTCTTCATGTCATTTTTCTGAATAAAAAATTTGCATGAATTCTCTATCTAAACTCTAGCAAGTTTGCCTCCTCTTTATACTTACATGCTCAATTTACGCAGAACTTTGTTTTGAGTAAAAATTTAAGGATGAGCAGAATTTTGTCAGAGAATGATGGATAGACACTCTAGGCAGAGGAAAGAATAGACACAAAAGTACCTTTGGCATAAAAAAGCATAGTGTATTCTGGAAAATTACTTCTTCTACATAGATTTCCCCAGTGTTTTAAACAATTCTTTATCATAACACCTTATTTTGTTGTAATGACTTATTGACATGTAGTCTATACGAAACAGAGAAACAAGAAATTATTAAATAAATGACCAATAGTGGCTGCATCTACATGGCTGCTGTGGCTGAGGAGAACTTTGAGGTGTCCCTAAGTAGTCAGCCCTTCTATGGTTTGCCTAGCCAGGTCAGATTGGTTCTATTTTCAGGGAACTGCAACTACCATGGTTACTGCAGTGCAAACTATGGCCCGTTTAGGACACAGGTTCCTCCTTTACCTTAAACTGAAATGGTGAGTGGCAGGCAAAGTATATGCCTAATACCATCAGTGCTGCAGTACTGGAACACAAAAGAAATAAATCTGATAAAAAGGATATAATTAATAGTCCATTTATCTCTACTGTACAATTAGCAAGGTGTTTTCACATATAATCATCACAGCTCTTTAAAGTCAGCCAAGTAGGTCTTCCTAGCCTCCTTTTTCAGGTAGGAAAACATAATAAGAGAACTCACATTTTCCTGGAGTCATATGACTTTTCAGGGTACTAAAATTGTGCTCTGTTAATTCCATCCCCATGTCCCAAATTTTTACACTGCATGAAATAGATTTACTACAAAGTACTTTCTATTGTATGTCAAAGTTTCTGTAGGATATTTTTCCCCAGTTTTTCTTTTTTTTTTTTTTTTTTTTTTTTTTTTTATAAGTTTTTATTGTTCATATTATTACAAATGTTTCTTTCCCCCCCCCCCCCACCATGCTCTCCTCCACCAGATTCCCACCCCACCCTCCGCCCCCTCCCTACTCCCCATTGTCCCCATCCATAGGTGCACAGTCTATGTTCAGTCTCTTCCCACATCCCCCTCTCCCCTTTTCCCCAAGAATCGTCAGTTCACTCCCCTTCCATATCTCTGACTCAATTATATTCAACCGTTAATATTGTTCATCAGATTTTTTTTTAATTTCCTTGGTTTTTGGATTCGCTTGTTGATAGTTACGTATTTGTTGTTCATAATTTTTATCTTTATTTACTTTCTCTTCTGAAAGAACCCCCTTCAGCAATTCATATAATTCTGGTTTGGTGTTGATGAACTTCTTTAGCTTTTTTTTATTAGTGAAGCTCTTTATCTGACCTTCGATTCTGAGTGATAGCTTTGCTGGATAGATTATCTTTGGCTGTAGATTCTTACTATTCATCACCTTGAATATTTCTTGCCATTCCCGTCTGGCCTGCATGGTTTCTGTTGAGAAGTCAGCTGACAATAGTATAGGTGCTCCTTTATAGGTAACTCCCTTCTTTGCTCTTGCTGCTTTTAATATTCTTTCTTTGTCTTTTGCTCTTGGAATTTTAATTATGATGTGTCTTGGTGTGGTCCTCTTTGGATTTCTTTTGTTTGGAGTTCTGTGCGCTTCCTGGACTTGTAAGTCTAATTCTTTCACCAGGTGGGGGAAGTTTTCTGTCACTATTTCTTTCAGTAGGTTTTCAATATCTTGCTCTCTTTCATCTTCTGGGACCCCCATAATTCTGATGTTGGTTCGCTTGAAGTTGTCCCAGAGGTTTCTTACATTATCTTCAATTTTCTGGATTCTCTTGCCTTCTAGCTTCTGTGGAGGGGTGTCTTCTGGCTCTTTATGCTCCAAATCTTTGACTTGATTCTTGCGATCTTCCATTCTGTTTTTAGGACTCTGTATAATATTTTTTATTTCAGACAATGTATTCTTTATTTCTTGTTGATTCCTTATTAATTCTAGTTGATCTCTTTTCATATCCTCATAGGTCTTATCCATCTTTTCTAGGAAATTCTTGAAAAACCTTATAAGCATAGATTTGAACTCTATATCCAGCCGCTTTTTGTCCTCCATTTCTTTCGTTTGTGATCTATTTCGTTGTCGTATTTCGCAGCTACAGATGGGGCAGAGTTTCAGGGTGGAGCCTGCAGCCTTGGCTTCCGTCAGCCCCGCCCTATGCGGGTCCTTCAGTGCTCGCTGCCCCGGTGCCTCTGAGAGAAAGGTGCCCTCGATTTTCGCCTGCTGCCAGACAGTCAATGCTCTCCCCCAATGAGCCTGGTATTGGGATTCAGTTCAGTTGGAAGTGGAGTTGGAGGTGGCGTTCAGAGCAGACTGGCGCCCCTGTCTCCTTCCCGCTAGGCAATCCCACAGCCGACCGTCCCTTCTCTTCGCGCAGTGTGCGCACCGCCAGGACCCCCTTTTGCCGATTCCCCGGGTTCTGCCTCGCAGCCCAGCTCCCTCTGTGTGAGCCTGGGTCCCCGGGGTCTGGCCTAGGCTTGGGTTCAGAGCAGTCAGAATGGGGCCCAGCACAGTCGGAGTTTTATCTCCTTCCTGCCAGGGAACGCCCGCCAGGCAATCGGCCTCCCTCTTCTCTGGCTCTGTCCTCTCCGCACGCCACGCGTCTCCGTACCTTAGGCTTTTCCAGCTCCTCCGCGCTTCCTTCTGGTTTTCTCTTGCTTCTCGTTGTAGAATTTCCAGTCAGTCGACTTTCCTGTAGTTCTGGGTAATGTCCATTTTATATTTTAGTTGTATTTTATTGAAATTGTTGTTTGCGGCTGCGGCTAGGTGTTACCTGGGCGCAGCCATCTTGGGTCCTCTGTCCCCCAGTTTTTCTTTGTATTTATAAAAATGCCTGTTTTAAAATTAACTTTTTATTTGTTAGTGCTTCATTGATTTTTAGAGAGAGGGGAAGGAAGAGGAATAGAGAGATAGAAACATTGATGAGATAGAAACATCATTGATCAGCTCCCTCCTGCACTCCCTTCACTTGGGATTGAGCCCACAACCTGGGCATGTGCCCTGACTAGGAATGGAACTAGTGACCTCTTGGTTCCTGGGTCAATGCTCAACCATTGAGCCACACCCCAGCCAGGCAATTAATTCAGTTTTTAATTGAGCACTTTTATATAAATCATATCTCAATTGTGTTACTCTTCATTAGTTTCTGTAATAGATCATTGGATTTTCCTGAATAACTATAGACTTGTTGGTTTTAGGACAAGTGAGATATTTAGGTCTACAGAGTCCATTTTAATACCATTTTAAAACAACACAACACTTTTAGCAAGAAGCACTAGGGTTTCAATCTATGTTGCATATATTATAGTAAAATTTTGTTCAGGTATGTAAAATTATTGCCATTATCTTGGTCTTTGAAGATGCTGTTTGCTGATGTAGTATCCTAATTCTGATTTTCAGCTGTGCCACCTCCACCACCTAGTGGAGGAATGGTGATGATGCAGCTTAATGTACCAAACAATCCACAATCTCGTGCCCACTCACCCCCGCAGTGGAAACAAAACAAATACTACTGTGATCACCAGAGAGGACAGAAATGTGTGGAATTTAGCAATGTAGACAATATTGTTCAGGTAAGATACTTAATTTTAATACTTGTAATATTTTAGTCACAGAAGATTGACCTAAAAAACTTTGATACTGAATTTGAAACCTCAAACACATTAGTAAAGAAATTTGAATACTTTTTATATCCAGAACATTTTTTCAACATTTAAATATTATTTCCCAACTTTTGCATATTCAAAAAAAACGTTTTTAATCAGAAGATAAATCAGATCTAAAATTTGATAAAGAAAAAGAATTATGCTGTTATCCTACTTTTTTCATATAAACTGTATGTTACAATAACCAGAAAGTTGATGAGGGGATGCTCTTCATCATAGGAGAAATACAATTAATAAATATAAAAGCAGTGGTAGATTTTAAAAATCACCATTCTGTAATCCTATTAAAATAATAGATGAAGAAAAACCCATCAGCCTGGCCAGTGTGGCTCAGTTGTTTGAGCATTTCCCATTGCGCCACAGGGTCACCAATTCAGTTCATGATCAAGGCCCATGCCCAAGCAGTGGGTTTGGGCCCTGGACAGGGTGCGTGCAGGAGGCAGCCTATCTTTCTTCCTTTCTTCCTTTCTCTCTCTCTCTCTCTGTCTCTCTCTCTCTCTTTTCATTTCTCTCTAAAATCAATTAAAAAAAAAATTTTTAAATCAGCAGCAAATGCCAGAAACTTGAGGAAAAGACTTATGGGAAACTTTAAAATGGATAGATGAGGCAGACAACACTTGAAGTAACTGATCAATTATAGCATCACTGAAAGTGGGTCAACCAAACTTATTTGTCTCCTGATGTAGTATAGAGGAAATTCACATTATCACATGATGTGCTCTTATTAAAAAAAAATAAAAAACTTGAACCTGAATCTTATCAAGCCTCTAAGGTGAGCTAATAATTTACAGAAAATCGAGGAAGAAAAAAAAAAAACACAACTTATATGATATCATGTCCTTATTTTACTAGACAAATTGGCCCCATTTTTTTAACAGATAAGTGGCATTTTGAAATTAAGGATGGGTCTGCTATAGATTAAAAGAGACTTGAGATACAATAACCAGATGCAACATATGGATCTTTCTTGGATACTGATACAGTCAAAAGATGTTTTTGGACCAAAAGCGAGTATTTAAATATTTTAATTTTTAGTATGATAATGGAGTTATTTTTAAATAGTTCTATCTTTTAGAAATATTTATATACTAAAATATTTTTAAGTGCAATGCTGTGATATCTGAGACTTGCTTTAAATACTTTAGGGAAAAAAGAGCAGGAGAAAGCACAAAGTTGGATTATGTATAAATGGAAGTTTGTTATACTCATCTAATTACACCTCTATATATTCAAAAGTTTACCACATTAAAAAGTTTTGAATTATTTAAAGATTATAAAAAAAAAATATTTACAATGCACATAACAAAATCAGAGCAAAATAAAAAGGTCAAAGATCATTTATAGGAGGCTAGCTCATAAACTATAGCCAATAGCCATTAAATAGATGAAATGAAAATTATTTTTTATCTATATAATTGGGAAATTTTAGAAAAACTACTAATTTGCACTGTCAGCAGAGAGATGAAGTGACACACTCACTTGTACACTTTTGGTGGTACTGTAAATTACTACAACTCTTTTTGGAGTACAGTTTAGTGATAACCTGGGCATGTGCCCTTGACTGGAATCAAACCAGGGTCCCTTCAGTCCACAAGCTGACAGTCTAGCCACTGAACTGAAACCAGGTAGGGCCAAAAGAGGCTGTTAAGTGTGATCCCCATGGTAATCACAAAGAAAAAAAATCTATGGAATATATATGAAAGGAAATGACAAAGGAATTAAACATTTTATTACAAAAAAAGTCAAGTAATTACAAAAGAAAATAGTGCAGGAAATGAGGAACAAAAAAGAACTATAGCCGGGACCAGTTTGGGTCAGTGGTAGAGCGTTGACCTGCAGACTGAAACGTCCCGGGTTCGACTTCGGGCTAGGGCATGTACCTTGGTTGCGGGCACATCCCCAGTAGGGGGTGTGCAGGAGGCAGTTGATCGATGATTCTCTCTCATCGATGTTTCTAACTCTATCCCTCTCTCTTCCTCTCCATGAAAAATCAATAAAATATATATATTAAAAAAAAAAAAAGAACTATAAGGCATTTAGAAAAATAGTAGCAAAAATAATAATATATCAAAAGTATTTGCAAGATACAAAGAACATTATATACTAATAAAAGTTTCAATTCAGCAATAAAATATCACAAATATAAGCATGCATCTAATAGACAATCAAAATTCATGAAGCAAAATCATACACATTTCAAGGGGAAATAGACAATTCTACAATAATATTTGGAGACTCTAATACTCCACTCTTAATAATAGTTAGAATAACCAAATAGAAGATAAGGAAATAAAGAACAGTAAACCAACTAGATCTAACATGCAGAACACTACCGGACAGCAGCACCATATATATTCTCTTAGGTGCATATGGGACATTTTCTATGATAGACCATATGTTAAGCCACATAGTAAGTCTCAATATATTTTTTTTAATACTTTTATTGATTTCAGAGAAGAAGAGAGAGAGAGAGAAAAAGACCAATGCTGATTGGCTGCCTTCTGCATGTACCCTGACCGGGAATCGAACCATGACCTCCTGGTTCATAGGTCAGTGCTCAACTACTGAGCCATGCTGGCCGGGTTCAATAAATTTTAAAAGGTAGATATCATACAAAGTGTCTTCTCAAGAAGCATCATACTGTAAATCCTATCCAGAGCAATTAGACAAGAAAAAGAAATAAAAGACATTGAAATTGAAAAGAACTAAAATGATCTCTGTTCAGAGATATGATCTCCCCACAAGATACATTTTTAACTAGAAAGGAAAAAATAATAACTTGACAGTGGAGAAACTATCAGTCATCATCTTCACCAAGCTATTGAAATAAAACCACCACCAGTACTGTTATGACAGATGGACAGCATGTTCCTTCTCATATGATGCACTAATGATACAATATCACTTTTCTGGTATTCCCTCACCAAATGTATATCATGAACTTTTTTTAAAAATTGACTTAAGAAAGGGGGAGGAAAGGAGAAAGAGAACACTGATTTGTTGTTCTACATATTTATGCATTCTTAGGGCAATTCTGTGTGCCTTGACCAAGGATCTAGCCCCCAACCTTAGCACATTGGGACAATCTAACCAACTAAGCTATCTAGCCAGGGTTATCATGAACATTTTGATAAGAAAACAGCAGGCTATCAAATCAGTGGATAGAGCCTCAGCCTGTGGACTGAAGGGTCCCAGGTTCGATTCCAGTCAAGGGCGTGTGCCCGAGTTGCAGGCCTGATCCCCAGCGGGAGGCAGCCGATCAGTGGTTTGCTCTCATCATTGATGTTTCTATATCTCTCTTCCTCTCCCTTCCTCTCTGAAATCAATTTTTTTAAAATATTTTAAAAAAGAAAACAGTAGGCAAACCAAAACTGAGGAACATTTCACAAAATAAATGATCTTCAGAATGACCTTCAGAAATGTCAGAGTCATGAAAGAGAAATAAGATTGGGGCTCTGTTCCAGATCAGAGATCAAAGTGACATGACAACTAAATGCAGCACTTCACTCAATTCTAGATTGGATTCTGGACTAGTTCAATTTTCTTTTTTCTTTTTTTCTTTCTTTTTTTTTTAAATATATATCAGGATAGGAGGTGTTGTGAGCAATTTATCTCAAATAGCTCACAGAAAATAAGAGATAAATCCAGTATAATAGAATATTAACATTTGGGAAATCTGAGAATTGTACTATTTTTGCAACTGTTCTTCAGGGATGAATTGTTTTAAAATGAAATGTTAAAACAAACAGTTAATGTGGAAAAAAAAAAAAGAATGAGGTTGATGTATACTCTCATTAAGAAGTATCTACAATATTATCATCTAGGTACGAAAGAAAAATTCAAAAATGGGATGTACAATCTATTTCCATTTTTGTAAAACATGGATGTATGGATACATATGCATAGAAACAATTTGTTACCAGTGCTTATCTTCAGGAGTTAGAAATTATAAATTTACATAATGCTATAATTTTTGTAATAACAAGTATATATTATTGTAGTATCCATAAGTACTTATTTATAATCAACAAGAATAAAAAATTTTGTCCAAAGGAAACTTGAGAAAATCCTAACTAAAGTGCTGTTCCATTTTCTTGATGTAATTACAGCACAGCCCTCAACTCAGCAGTCCCATTATTTCACCAGCTCCATCGCCAGCACCAGCTCAGCTATCCACCCTGAAAACTGTTCGTTCTTCTGGACCACTTTCCATCATCCCCCCGTTTTCTAGACCTTTTATCCCTGGTCAAGGTAAGTGTACACGCAACTAATCACAGCCTCACAGAATTTTAAAATGTCGATCGTAGTATCTGTGCTTTATCTTGGTATTGCTACCTTGCAGTTTTCCACAGGACTACATTTCCAGCGTCAGCAGGCATATTTGTTTATTACCATATACTCTTCTGACCTTAATATTTCATTACTAATTAATAATCAATTACCAATTTAGTCATTACTTCAATGACAGAATTAAAATGATTTTAACTTATTCTTAGACTCCATTCTTTTAATTCTTTTAAAACTATGTCAATACCCACTGAATTGAGACAATTTAGAAAACTCCAGGAAGTATTTTATAACTGGGTAGAGAAAAATATATAAATGTTTCTGTTGACTTTCAGGAGATGCCAGGTATCCATTACTTGGCCAACCACTGCAGTACAACCCCCCTACTGTTCTGCATGGACACTTGCCACCCCAACAGGTGAGCGTGCCGGCCGTCAGACCTTGTAGAGCATCCTACATCTATGCTGAGTGCAGGCCTGGGCCTTCCTATTGGCACTGCACAGGGAGAGTTCCTTGCCTCACCCGTGGATTTCTCAGTATTGTCACTGCCTCATCGAGAGCAGAGCCAGGGGATAGCGGTGCTGCTTGGCTGGGCAATATTCCCAGGTGGGCTGGCTGCAGGGCACGCTTGCTCAGGAAAGCCCAGAAAGTGACTGGTCATAGTGGGCCTCTGCCACAAAGGCGGGATTCAGGAGGCCTGGGGTTGAATTTTTCTGCTGAAATACAAAACCCAGACTGAGTATGGTTAGGTATTAAGTGTTTAAACATTACAAACTTATTTGTCATCATTATTAACCTTATTTCTCATCTGTTTGTGGGTTTTCAGGGTCAGTCTGGCAACAGGCATGGAAACCGGGGAAGGAAACAAGCTAAGAAAGCTGCATCCACTGACCTTGGCGCAGGAGAAGCAGGTGTGTCCCTGAGCGGCTGGATGTGCTTCTACAAGCTGTTGACCACTTCAATAGTCTTTAAAACTGTACCCCTACACAGAAATGGGTTTTCCTCTCCCTAGAGTCCTGCAAAGGTCATAGGGAATTATGCCGTCTATAATATAGGGTGCTTGAATATGCTCTTTCAGAGCTATTTCATCTCAAGTTTGAGAGCATAGTAAGGTACAGGTTGGGTTTTGGAGGGGTGAAGGGGCCGAGGAGAAACGATGTGTGTGACAAGAACAGGTAGAATGAGCTCTTTGCCCCTATTCTTTGAGAAAGGAAGTGGCCCTTACATCCATATGGAGGCAGTGTGAGCAAACAGGTATGTCACCTTCTGTGGCAAAGTGCTGTCACCTAGATACTTTAACTTTCTACTCAGCTTCCTTGGGTGCATAGGCAAGTGATGCTATCTTTCTTTTTCACTGGGAACGTGAGGTGCAGGGAGCTGTCCAGAAGCACACACCTCATTGGGAGGAGCCACTGTGCAGTGCTGTGCTGTGTATGTGCAGCTGTCAGTGAAGACTGAAATGGGGAGTTGATACCATTAGCTCTGCACTCCTTGCCAAGGGGGTACATAGGAATGGTTTGAAAGATTATCGTAACAGTTATACTTCTGTGGATTTGAATGGTTTTAGAAAATTCTGTTTATTTTCTATGACATAGAATTTATGTCATATTGAGTTTAGAGTACATTTTGCCTCTCTTCAGTAACAGGGATCATTAATCCTACATCTTTTCCGTTCTAGTTGTTGGGAAAGTCTTGGAAATTACTGAACTACCAGATGGAATAACTCGCATGGAAGCCGAGAAGCTCTTTGGGGAACTCTTTAAAATTGGCGCCAAGATCCGGTGGCTGCGGGACCCCCAGTCCCAGTCCCAGCTGCGTCGTCACCCGCTCTGCTGTGGCAGCGGGGACAGCACTATCAATTCTGAACGCTCTAAACCCATTGACTTGGCCTCCACGTACACGGTCCTAGCCACATTCCCCTCCATCTCAGCTGCACAGAATGCATTGAAGAAACAAATTAACTCGGTTAACAAATTTAAGCTGAGAACAAGCAAGAAGCACTATGACTTTCACATTTTGGAAAGGGCGAGTTCTCAGTAACAGTCACCTTGGACCCTGGGCCTTTTTGATTCCCCTGTGCTCTCCCATCTTTAATTGGCTTGGTATTCAGAGCTCCTGTTAACATGGTAGAGACTCCTAGGGGGTGTGGTCAGGGCGAAACAGCTTTTGAAGACAGGCCAGTGTTCCAGCAAAGCGGGGTGATCCACACTGCACCCCAGTGACTAGGAATCCACATCGGAGTCAGCGTTTTCTGAGGAAATGCTGTTCAAATGTCTCCTGACTTTTATAGTTATTTTGTTTTATATTTCTGAATTCTTGTATCAGATCCAAAGCTCTATTGTACAGCAAATTATTCTTCAAAATTATTACAATTAGTTGCAACCTGTATTTCTTTTTTGCAGCCAGCACAGTGTGATCCAACATAGAATTTGGGGGAAAAGAATACAGGAATGGAATAACCAAGTCAGAACCATTTGCTGTCTTTCTGAGAGGCTGAAGGGTGACTAAGGAGAGCCCACAAGCAGATGACTCTTCCCCTGTATCTCCAAACACAGAATTCCCTCAGTGGGTTCTTTCCTTATTCATTTAGGTAGTACGACCATTAAGTGTGAAGTAAATTATGTTCTTAATGCCTCTCAATCAAACCACTCAGACTCCAAGGGGAATAGGAATCATTCTAGGCGGGAAAATACTCTTTTTAAGCCCTTCCAATAACCAAATGCCACTTATTTGCATTCCCCTCCTCGTGGATTTTTTGTCACCTACAGAAATGCATTTGATGAGTGCTGGAAACTTCTTAAGCAGTTTAAAGTTTGTTTTCATTGTTTGCAGCAGATCACTGGACATCAAAGATTCATTGCACTAATTACAAGGAACCTTCTTTTTCAATTTTGTGTAATTTGAAAGGCTGTACAATGTGTGCTGATGCAAGCCTTTTTCAGTTCAAGAGAATAAATGTTTACAAATATAGACCCACTTTGTCTTTGTAAATCAAAATCACCTTTTTAAGTGAGTGCCAGTAATAAAGACCTAACCTGTCCTGCAGATTTTGATTTCAAACTTAAAGATGAAAGACAGTAAACCCCTCATTTTTGTTTTTTTCCTTATTCATTTATATTGAATTCATTCAGGTGACATTGATTAGTAAAATTATAGGTTGGTTTCAGGAGTACAATTCTATAATACATCATCTTATATTGCATTCTGCAGTAAACCCCTCATCTTACAAAACGTTTTACAAAGCATCACTTTCTCTGTGGCATTGATTTTAGTGGGTACGATTTATGTCACCTCATTCTCTCATGAAGGTAATACCAATACCTGGCTGGTGTTGCTCAGTGTTTGGAGCACCAGCTCAAGCACTGAAGGGTCACAGGTTTGATTCCCAGTCAAGAGCATGTACTTCAGTTGCAGGTTTAGATCCCTGGCCCCATTCCAGGTGCATACTGATTGATGTTTCTCTTCGCCTTCCCTCTCCAGCCCTCCCACTCTCTCTAAGAAACAATGGGGGGGGGGGTCCTCAGGTAAAGATTAAAATATATTCCAATCAATGAGAGACAATTTGAGTATGAACGTTTATATATAAAAGCCTAAGTGACCATTATGACTGGCCGACCAGTCACTATGACACAAACTGACCACCAGGGAGGGGGCAGACGCTCAATGCAGGAACTGCCCCTGGTGGTCACTGCACTCCCACGGCCAGCCAACCTCCCTCAGTCCCTCCCCCAGCCAGTAGGCCCCTATCGGGACTGGACAAGGGACCCCACCCATGCACAAATTCATGCACTGCCTCTAGTACTTATATAACTAAAAATAGAATATTGTTTGTGTTCCTAGCCAATATATTGATCACCTATTGTCCAGATTAGCTCAAATGCTGTATCAAAAGCTTTCCCTATTTGTTAGCCAAGCAAACTGCTGGGAACCAAAAGCTGGGAGGTCTGTCATATACAACTTGCCTGGGGCCTGGTGCACTTGCAGCCCAGAGTGGGCAGTGTTCAGGAGCAGCAGGTGTTATCAGACCAGCACAGATGTTCAGGCACACAAAAGCATTTGCAAAGCTGCACTTGGTTCCTGGGGTAGAAGGCGGAGCTGCCTTTGAACCATGTCAGATTAAGGAGCTATACATAGAGGAAAAAGAAAGGATCATGAAAACAATTTTCAAGGTCTGTTGAATTTTTTATCATTTTTTTTACTAGAGTTGAAGATTTTTTTTTAAATATATTTTATTGATTTTGTACAGAGAGGAAGGGAGAGATAGAGAGTTAGAAACATCGATGAGAGAGTCATCGATCAGCTGCCTCTTGCACACCCCCTACTGGGGATATGCCCGCAACCAAGGTACATGCCCTTGACCGGAATCAAACCCGGGACCCTTCAGTCCCCAAGCCGACACTCTATCCATTGAGCCAAACCGGTTTCAGCAAGAGTTGAAGATCTTGAGGAAACATAATTAGGATCAGCATTGCAGCAAGAATTATTCAATCCGTGAATTGGGATGGAGACAAAAAAAAAATCCCACAATCCTATGGTTTATTTCAGTTTTCTGAATATTTAACTTTTGCAGTAGGAATCTTAATAAACCTAAGAGTAGGTTTGGGGGGCTTTTTTAAAATTGAGGTCTAATTTACATATTGGTTTTAGTTGTACAGCATAATTATTTGACGCTTGTATATATACTAATAAGAACTTTTAAGGTCTATAAGCAACTCTCAAATATACAGTACCAAATTATAGTCACCATGCTGTGCATTAAAACCTAAAAGATCTTTAGTTTACCCTATAGGAGTTGACATCTGCTCAGAGGAAATAAGTAAATTAAATGGCCAAAACCAGTTTGGCTCAGTGGATAAAGCGTCGGCCTGCGGACTGAAAGGTCCCAGGTTCAATTCCAGTCAAGGGCATGTATCTTGGTTGTGGGCACATCCCAGTAGGAGGTGTGCAAGAGGCAGTTGATCGATGATTCTAACTCTCTCTCTCTTCCTCTCTGTAAAAAAATCAATAAAATTTTTTTCAAAAAATCAGTGAGGCTATTGTTAAGTCAGCTCTTAGCCACCACCACCACAACTACCCCATTCCCTGATAATAACATGGGAATAGTTAGGAAATAGCCAACCCTTCCCCATACACACATAAAAATAGTTCACCCATTCCCTGACTATTCCACTGTTCTTTTTCTAGAATCTGGTTTTACCTATAGAAAAATGCTAAAGCACACTCAAGAAGCAGTTAAAATATGATTTAACCCAGACTTTAAATATTCCTAAGGATAGCTTCAAATGTCCCACAGCTCTGGCTGGTTTTCCCCAGAGCACTGACCATATTTGGGATCAGAGAGTACTTTTATGAATAAAACCTGTTACTGTTACCTGTGCCAATTCAGGATGGGACAAAATTAGGTTTACCGTTGAATGAGAAAGTTTAGTCTTGTATTATTTATTACAAGTGTTATTTTCCATATGAACAAGTGTAAACCAGCCTTTGTCCCACCCTGTATTAGCAACTCCAGCAGCCCCTTTGAGAATAACAACAGAAGTCATTTAATAAATTTACACTAATACTTTATTGATTTCAGAGAGGAAGGAAGTTTTTATTGATTTCAGAGAGGGAGGGAGAGGGAGAGAAACATCAATGGTGAGAATCATTGATCGGCTGCCTACTGCAAGTCCCACACTGGGGATTGACCCGAAACCTGGACATGTGCCCTTGCTGGGAATCAAACGACCTTCTGATTCATAGGTTGACATTCAACCACTGAGCCATGCCGGCTGGGCAACTTCTGCTACTTTATAAGAAAGCTGAAAATATGGCTTATGGTTAGTTCTTCAACATTTATCCACGGAGAACATGAATATATTGGGTATGTGTGTATGAATCTAGAACACAAAGTGTGTTTGCCATGATGCTGATACTCATTAAACATGACTAGCTTAGCCTGGCCGGCATGGCTTACAGATTGAGCATCAATCTATGAACCAGGAGGTCATGGCTCAATTCCCATTCAAAGTGTGTTTGCCATGATGCTGATACTCATTAAACATGACTAGCTTAGCCTGGCCGGCATGGCTTACGGGTTGAGCATCAACCTATGAACCAGGAGGTCATGGCTCAATTCCCATCCAAGGTCATGGCACATTCTGGGTTGTGGGTTCTATCCCCAATGCAGGAGGTAGCCATTCCATGATTCTTATTGGTGTTTCTATATTTCCCTCTCCCTCCCTGAAATCAATAAAAATATTTTAAAATAACTAGCTTGATATCTGAGCTGATGACAAAGAATCTAATCCGCACCATCCCTCTCTCCTGCTGTAGACTAAAAAAATTTTTCTGCCAAAACCAATTTGGCTTAGTGGATAGAGCGTCGGTCTTGGCCTGCGGACTGAAAGGTTCTAGGTTCAATTCCGGTCAAAGGCATGTACCTTGGTTGCAGGCGTATCCCCAGTAAGGGGTGTGCAGGAGGCAGCTGTTCAATGTTTCTCTCTCATCGATGTTTCTAGCTCTCTGTCCCTCTCCCTCCCTCTCTGTAAAAAAATCAATAAAATATTTTTAAAATAGTTTTTCTGATCCCACCAAGTAGGATCTGTGGCCTGTGCATAGTGCTAACCAATCAGTAGAGACCACTAACCTGAAAGGACACACCTGGGAAGCTGCTGAATATTCTATTGAGATCCTCTCCTGATACTACCCCTAAAATCCCTGCCTTTTGAAAAACAGATAAACAACCTCAAGATGAAGCCCTGGCCAGGCAAGTCAGAGCAGTATTCCAATACACCAAGGTTGTGTGTTTGGTCCTTAATCAGGACACATACAAGAATCAGCCAATAAATGCATAAGTAAGTGAAACAACAAGTCAATATTTCTCTAAGTTTAAAAAAAAAAAAAACTCAAGATGTGTCCTAGCTAGTTTGGCTCAGTGGATAGAGCTTCAGCCTGCGAACCAAAGGGTTCCAGGTTCGATTCCGGTCAAGGGCACCTACCTTGGTTGCAGGCTTCTACCTGTCTGGACGCTGGTCGGGGCACATATAGGAGGCAACCAA